CCTCCGTCTTCGGCGGCGCCGCGGAGCCGCCGAAAGGCGGGAACCCGGACTCGAACACGCTCATCTCCGACATGACCACCGTCATCTGTCTCGACGACTACCACTCCCTGGACCGGACCGGTCGGAAGGAGAAGGGAGTGACGGCGCTCGACCCACGCGCCAACGACTTCGACCTCATGTACGAGCAAGTCAAGGCCTTGAAGAGTGGCGTCGCCGTCGATAAGCCGATCTACAACCACGTCACCGGTCTTCTTGATCCGCCGGAGCTCACTAAGCCACCGAAGATCCTCGTCATCGAGGGTCTCCACCCAATGTAAGTTCAATTTTTTTTGTGCACCCTTTACTCATAAATTCAATCTGTTACAGAATTCTGGTCGGAATCTGATGACCCTCTACTCAGAATTTGAGTTTGTATCGGAATTCGGCAACCTTTTTTTTTTTTTTTGTTATAAGGACTAAACCCAAAAAACAAAAATGTTCTCTCCCTCTCTCTCTCAGTAACTAACTCAGTTTCGTCTGTCTTAGAACATTACTGGGTTAGAATTCTGGTCGGAATTCGATGACCCTTTACTCAGAATCTGAGTTTTTGTGGGAATCCGGCAACTTTTTTTGATGTTTTAACGATTAAAACAAAAAAGATTCAGTTTTTTTCCTCTCTCAGGACAGCCTCGTATTCGAATTCAAGACGAGAATTCGATGAGTTTTGAGTTTGAATCGGAGTTCAGTAACTTTTGGGTGTTAAGAATATTGGGTTACAGAGATTCAAGATACGGAGATTTCGAGATCGTTCTTGTCTTGGATTGGTTTTGGAAGAGTTCTAAATTTGGATCCGAATCCGAAACCGCTTATGAAACGGATCTGGTTTTTCCGGTCTGCATGTTGTTTTATTTTTTAATTTTCTCAATATAATATATTTTCAATCGACCAAAAAATCTTGGAATCATCTCTTTTATGATTATCAATTTTCCGGGTCCTATGAATTTCACACAATATGGATTCTATAAAGAATCATCAAATACCACATTCTTTTCGGGGTCACAAAGATATAATAAGTCTAAACCCATAATTAAAGTTTTTATATATTAACCAAAAATGTAATTTTTATTTTATTTTATTTTCTCAATACATATGTGATATGTGATATGTGTATGAACTATAATGAAGGTTTGATGAAAGAGTAAGGGACCTCTTGGACTTCAGCATCTACTTAGACATCAGCAATGAGGTTAAGTTCGCATGGAAAATACAGGTGATGTTCCCTTCTTCTTCTTCTTCCAACGGTCGGTCCATTCATCTCTCGTATAATCCATAGTTTGATACATACGCTTAGAATCGTATATGATCCTAACATTGTTCCTTGTTTTTTAAATGAATGATCATATAATAGAGGGACATGGCTGAAAGAGGTCACAGCCTAGAGAGCATCAAAGCCAGTATCGAAGCTCGCAAGCCCGACTTCGACGCCTATATCGGTAAAAACCCTATCCCGAAAGACAGATCCCCGATACCCTTTTTCTTGACGATCCCGGATTTCTGTATACAGTCAAGGAATGTATCTAACAACGATCACGGTTTGATGATCATATCTATGGTGTATGCGAGCAGATCCGCAGAAGCAGTACGCAGACGCGGTGATAGAGGTGCTACCGACTCAGCTGATTCCCGACGATAACGAGGGGAAAGTGCTGAGAGTGAGGCTGATAATGAAGGAGGGAGTGAAGAATTTCAGCCCGGTTTACCTGTTTGACGAAGGATCCACCATCAACTGGATACCCTGCGGCCGCAAACTCACCTGCTCCTACCCCGGGATCAAGTTCTCGTACGGTCCCGACACTTACTTCGACCACGAGGTTAGTTACGTTTCCAAACCCTAATTCATGTATTCATTAGCAAGATATGAACGAATTCGTGTATTTATTTGGATTTAGGTATCGGTTTTGGAAATGGACGGGCAATTCGACAGACTGGACGAGCTGATATACGTCGAGAGCCATCTGAGCAACCTCTCGTCCAAATTCTACGGAGAGGTCACCCAACAGATGCTGAAACACGCCGACTTCCCCGGCAGCAACAATGGCACCGGCCTCTTTCAGACCATCGTCGGCCTAAAGATCAGAGACCTCTACGAGCAGATCGTCGCCGCCAAGGCCTCCGCCCCCGTCGAAGCCGCCAAGGCCTGAAATTACGTATCTGCCCCTTCTCCCCCCTCCCTCCACTGTGGGCGGGCAAGAACAGTCTCTGTGTTGTGATCTTTTTCTGTAATGTAGAGAATGGATAGTTTGGAGAGAAAATAACAGTTGGTGAAATCCATGATCAAAAAAGCTCTTTCCTTTTCAGACAGAATCTCAAACTCGAACCTGATCCTGCAATGGCGCTGAGAGATCCTTGTGGGTTAAGGCAAAACCCTAGCCATTACAGATTGGAAACCACAGGTTAAAACAGTAATAACAGTTGTTGAATCCATCAAAAGCTCTTTCCTTTCAGACAAAGAATCTCAAACTCAGTACAGAAAGAACTCAACTACTGAATCTCAGGTCATTACGATTGAAAAGACGCTGGAAAGTTTTATGTACAGAGAGAGAGAGAGAGGCAAAACCCTAGCCATTACAGATTGAAAACCAGAGGTTAAACAGTAACAGGGCAAGAAGTAAAAATACAATACAAAGGTTGGAGCTTTTTTACTTATTTACTTGATGGTGACGAACTTGTTGGTTCCATGTCTGGCCCAATGGTTCTTGAGATCAACTGGGCGAGACAGGTCATGGCCCTCCCCTGCTAGCCTCAGCAATAGCTTCACATACGCTCCATTGCTCATTTTCCTGCCAGCAAGGCGGGACCTGGGTCTCGTGCTGCTCATCGGGAGAGGATAGACCGATATTCCGATCGTGCAGCACGAGGACTGCCACCCGCCTAAACCCCATTTGTAGCAAACCCTCGGGATGCCTGTACAAGAACAAACCGGGTAAGGGACCTCTGAAAAATCGAAGCTCGAGACATCGACATTGATCTCCGGGGTTTTCTTCTCACGTTTCACTTCCGGAACACTCGATGTTTTCTTCGGCTTCTTGGGCATTGCAGAAGGGTTCTTCCTCGGCGTCTTGGGCTTCAGTGCCTTGGATGGAGACTTCTGTGTTGCAGACTTCTCTTTCACCGGTTTTGCGTGTTTGGTATCATTTCTGGTATCCCGAACAGGAGGAGAGACTACGAAACTTTCCGCCGCGGTATTTACATGAGTTAGCTGAGAAAGATCGATGCCTACAGTCCTCGGGATGGGGATATCGCTTCCGGCCATGCCTGCACCTTCTCGGGTGTGTGCTTCAGGTCCCAAGCGGTTTTGATGCGGATATGAACTCATATTGATTGCTAGTTCCAGAAATCGAGCACCCAAGAAACACAGTACATGATCTTCTGCCACATGTGGGTTCATCAAACAAATCCGGAAACATATACATATATACACACACATATATATGCGCTTACATATCGTCTCAAGCAAATTAACGTCTAATATTCAAGAAATGGCGAATGAAAATCATATAATTCAATTCTGAATTTGGTTATCTAGTGGCTCCAACTGAGAACTAACACACATTCAAACACTAACAAGAATCTGCATAAACATTACACACATACATACATACACATCTAACTTGAATACACGAGAAGAAAATCTCGAGAAAATGATCGATTTTTTCCTGAATCATTTGTATCAAAACAGGAAACAGAGAACGACCCATGAAAGAATCATCAAAACCCATCAGAGAATTACGTCCAAACATCGAATTTGCGTGAAACAATCCATAATTAGCAACAATCAATCATGCAAAAAACGATACTTTTCTAGGGTTTTCGAAAGAAACAAACCCAGAAAACAGAGTTAAAGCAAACAAAAACATCAATCTTTTCCAGAACCGAAAAAGAAAAAGGAAGGAAAGACGAGAGATCTCACCAGAAGTTATGATCACTTCTACCGAAACCGAGACCTCACCGCTTCGCTCTCCGCCCTCCGTCGTCTTACGGCATTCCCTTTTCCTTCTTTTTCCCGGGTGTTTTTTTTTTTAAATTTCTAGGGTTCCTCAAGATTTCCCTCGAATTCCATATGCCAAAATAACATTTTTCTACACGAATTTTTAATTTGACAAATGTCTACATTCAATTAACAAATTTCCCAAATACCTACACGAATTATCCAATTTTAGTGTAATTAACTACACAATCCGAAATTATCAATTAATTGTTGACGTGGAAAGCCACGTGGCGGCTCACGTGGCATACCACGTGAGATTTTTTTCCATATCAGCGCGAATTAAAAAAAATAAAAATAAAAATTTTCCTAAAAATAAAAAATAAAAAATACATATATAAATATATATATGTATTTATATATTTGTATATATATAAATTTAAATTTCGTATAGATTTTAAAAAGTATATATTGTATAAATTGGAATTTTATACAAATATATATATATATACAAATATATTTATATATACACATATACATATATGTAAATATATTTGTATGTATGTATATATATATGTATATATATTTGTATATATATATATGTTTATATTTGTATTTGTATATATATATGAATATACACATATATATTTATATATTTGTATGTATATAAATTTAATTTTTTTATAAAATTTAAAAATATATATATACATACATACAAATATATTTATATTTTTTATTTTATTTTTTTAATTCGCACTGACATGACAAAAAATCTCACGTGGCATGCCACGTGAGCCGTCACATGGCCTTCCACGTCAGCAATTAATTGATAATTTCAGATTGTGTAGTTAATTACACTAAAATTGGATAATTCGTATAGGTATTTGGAAAATTTGTTAACTGAGTATAGACATTTGTCAAATTAAAAATTCGTGTAGAAAAATGTCACATTTTGATAAATTCGTGTAGGAAAATGTCATTTTCCCATTCCGTATTGATATCCTGTTCGTACTGTTGATCCACACGATGTTTGGAGCGTGTACTTCACTTTCTTATTACCCCATCACTATGACAATTATTACGGGTGTCAAAACGATCCCGTCTCGCGAGCGGACTTGTGGCTCGCCAGAAAACGAACGATTTGAGTCGTAATTTTTCAACTCGTTAAAAAACGAGTCTAACGAGTCAGAGCTCATTGAACACGTGTTCAATAAGCTTGGCTCGACGAGCTGGCGAGCTGCCCACGAGTTGGTATTTTTTTTAAAATAAATTAAATTTATATAAAAAAACTATAATATAATTTTATATTAATTGTTTTATATTATTTATATGATATTATAAATATACTAATTATTATGACGGTGATAATTGAAAATATTAAATAATATTGGTATTTTATTAAATTTTTATGTATTTATTTAAATTTATAATTATATTTAAAATAAATATAAATAAAAAATATTATATATCATTGGCTCAACGAGTCGGCTCGTTCAGATCGGAAAACTGGCGAGCGATTTGAGACGATGTTTTTCTGGCTCGTTAGAAAACGAGCCTAACGAGTTGAGCCCAAAACGATCCGAACCCAAAATGAACCGAGTTGGCTCGTTTGACACCCCTAACAATTACCATTACTCAAGGAATCGAATCGTATTAAATAAAATATATATATATATATATATATATTTGTTGTATTCAAACCATTCAAAATTATTAAACGTTATTATTTTAAGAAATCGAATTTTTTAAAATCGAACCAAATTTTAAAAAATTTTAAAAATCAAATATTTTTTTAAAAGATCTTATTTTTTTAATAAAAATTAAAACGAACCAAATATAATATAATAATTAATTGATATATATTTTTATAAAAAACTCCTAATACTAACAATAATAATATACTTTTATTTATATATATATATACATACACGTTAGATATCAATATACGCTCTAAATAAATATAACTGTTAGGCAAAAAATCATAATTTAATGGGCCCATAAATCTAACTACAACATAAATAAAAAATAATAATCAATCTTGACTGACCATCCATTTAATTTCGTAAGAATTATTATTATTATATATCTATTATTTTTGTTTATATTTTAAGGCGTTTTTCAAAATTTTAACGACAGCTACAATATAAATCTGTCAAATTGAATAAATTAATGGGCTTAGAAAGTGTGCCCTTATCAGCCTTTTATTTTAGCCCAAAAATATTAGAATATAAAATGTAATACCTTATTTAAAAACAAATTTTTTCTCATAAAACATTTATACAAATTCACAAAATTTACATATTATATCAAACAGCTGAAGAATTTGCCATCATCATCATCAGTTCATTCATCGAAACCAAATGCCTTTCACTTGTAGCAACTCACCAGTTCCCGACACCACGATCCCACCCACCAATGGCAGTTCGCCACGTCATCATTCTTCATCCGACGATCGACAGTAAGCTCTGCCGAACGGCGGGAACCGAGCATAACAGTGATCCAAAGATTCCAGTCAGAGCATAAGCAATGGCACAGAAGGGAAGAGCTTCTGGCTCCTTAGCCGACAAAGCTGCTGTTCCAAGTCCATGAGCACTGCAAAAAGGACACCCAGACAAAATCTGTCTTAAAAGCTTCGATCTTTATCTCAATAGTTCATCAATGATCACATCTTTCACAGATTACCCGACATCTCGGGTGGTGCGGGTCAAGAGAAGTAGTGTTACCTCGAAGCAGTTGCGATACCTCGAGCAATTGGATCACGTAGACGAAGTGCATCTAGAACTGCCTGTACAAAGTTTGCTCCGATCAGACCAGTCACTACAACTACCGCAGCTGTGAGAGACGAATTCGCGCCTGAAACCCGGAAAAGGAAAATCTTTAGTTCTTCGGCTTTATTAGTTTACTTGAAAGCTGAAGGGTACAAAAGGGAAGGAGAATAATGTATACCTTCAAAGAGAGAGACTATGCTGAGAGCTAATGCAACAGTGATGCACCGTGGAAGGATCGAGACCGTTAAAGAAGGTTCCAACCCCACTAGACGTCCAACGATAGCAGTTGAGTACAATGAGAATACAGTGGAGACAATTACTGATGTGAAGATCTCGGCGGCATGCCTCTTCACGAGCTGAAGATCATGACAAATCATTAGTTTGAGCGATCTGCCAGTGCATTTGAGGTGACATTCAGAGAACAGAGAACCAAAAAGACGAGGAATTTTTAGGCACCTTTCTTTGTTTGAACATGGAGAAAGCGAAAGAGAGAATAACAGATCCAAGAAAACCCATTAAAATGTCACCAGCGCCCGGATCGGATGCCGCTTTGGTAAGATAGTTTCCTGTCTCCATGAAAGTAAAAAGGTGCTTACTTTCCGGTTTGTACCGATAATGGGTATTCTATATTTGTTCGGTTTCAACGTGTGATATACCTAGAACAGGATCAAGTCCGGACCCAGAAGCATATCCGAAAGCCAGAGCAGCAAGAACAGCAGATAATGCACAACAGATTATCGGATGGAAAACTTTCTTCACACCAGAAGGAAGCCTGGGAAAAGAAAACAAAAAATACGAAAAAAAATGAAGCTTTTTATGACCCAAAGAGACTACAAATTTTGAAGCGAAAAATGTCAGTGCCGACCTTGAACCGACCATGTAGCCTAGAACGGTAGCTGCGAGAAGGAAAGGAAGACATGTTCGAGCACTCGTCCCTAGCACGGTTGGATAAAACAGAGCACTAGCAAACGATATGATGAAGATTCCACTCCAACACCATAGTTCCAGTGCCGAAAATGGAGAAGGCTTTGCCATAGGCTCAGCCTCTGTCATCTGGGTATTCACCATTTTCCTCACCGCAATAGCTGTAAACCCGGCCACACAAAGAGATGCCAACCACCCACCGGCTGCACACCATGATCAACGCAAACATCAACTAAAGCAAACCCGGACTCGAAAGATAACTAGCAAAAGAAACTAGATTAACATCAGATTGAGCAAATAATGAGGAAACGGGCAAAGTTTGTGTAATGAGATAAGGCTCTTAGAAACGGATATCATGAATTCCATCTCCAACCCCAACAGTTTCTCCTGCTTTTTTCTTCTGTATTACTTAAGACTCCAAGTCTTTCGCTTAAAAAGATTGAAACTTGTCTTGCCCCAACAAAAAAAACACACTTTTCTTAAACCTAGCAAAAAAAACACTTTCGTTTTGTACCTTCTTATGTACGGATCACATTCATAAAAAAAAAGAATCACAAGTAAAAGTCTATACCTACAATGTAGCAAATCTTGACCCCAGAAGCAGCCGGGATGTCCCTAACAGAGAGAGGAAGAACGACCAGAGATGGCACGTAGAACAGTGGAAGCCATCTCTGGATGAACAGAAACGCAGGCTCGAAGAAATTCATCAAACTCGTAGCTGCAGCAGGAACAACAGTATCGAGGATCATCAGGACAGAGAAAATACAGAACATCCCAAACAAAGCGCTCGGGAACTTGATCGCTGCAGCGACAAAGGCCTGTTTCAAGAACTTGTCGGTTGCAAGTATGATCCCCAGTGAGACCAGCAAGTGCATTACCGCAAACACCTGGAGTGCATCATAAGAAAGCAACGCAAGTTGGAAATTTTCGAAGGGGCAGAGTTCATTGAGAAGATCCACAAACACAGGAAATATCCGTGTCGCTTACGTTTTGAGAGATCGTTGGGGGATTTCCGATCTCTGCACCACCCGTAGCTTGAGCCAAGAGGCTTCTCCCGAAGCTGGGCTGTTCATCACCCATTTGTAAGAACCTCGTACTGTGTCCGGAAATTCTGCTGGGCACCCTCGATGTGCTGAACTTCGATAGAATCAACTTATGGGTTCCATTAAAATCTAAACTACTACCATATCTCGAATCGAGACGGATATTCGAACGCCAATGGCGGTTCCTGGTGGCGCTAAGAGCCAACGGGGAGAAAAATTGAGTGGCTAGAGGAGTAGCCATGGAAGCAGAAACGAAGTGGCTGTGGTGCTGCCAGAATATCCATGAAAGCTTCCTTCATCGCTTTGATTTGTGATGGAAATTGGAGCATGGATTTGTATGGACGACAGAGAATGATCTATCAGCAAGGTAAAGAGATAAGACTTCTGTCGTTACCGGAATTTTGCCGGGTTAGGTTTTACCGTTAAAAATGATTTTTTTTAAAAAAATATATATTTTTTTATTATTTCAAAATAATATTTTGTTTAACTACACACTTTTATAATATGATATCCACAACAGAAATCCACACCAAACTGCTGCATAAACAGTAATATCCCACGAGGCATTTATGATTATGACAATATTACGGAAAAACAAAATATTAAAAAATATAATTACCAAAAAATCTGACTATTGGGCCTAAGCTTGAGTTATGGGCTTTTATGGGCTTTGGTAAAATATATTGTAAGGTTATTGGGCCTGACGAAATATAAAACAGAATTTAAGAGCCCAACTTCATGGATTGCATCCTTGTCACCAATCCTACGCGCAGCTGCAGCGCGTGGAGCGCGTGACATAAAAAACGAAAGGTTATAACCCAGCGGACTTTGTGATATTCCGCCCATATATTTTTTCGTGCCAGAAAAAGCGCGTGGAGACTGTTTTAAAGCCAAATATATTTTGGCATTTAAAAATAACTGTTCGTATTGCGTATTGCAATCACCCAATTTTAAAAAATTATATTAGTGCAAAAAAAATATAAATTACATATTGTAAGTCATATAAATTTTAGTGGACGTTTTTAATCGCTTTAAATGAATGTATTTCTAATCCAAAATAAATAAATAACATAATTAAATTAGGCTAATAATTATATTGGTTAAAAAAACTTTTTCAAAAAAAAGAGATGCATTTATGTGGTCAATAAATTTTTCGATAATTTAAAATGTGAGATTTTGACAAATAGAGAGTTAAAGATATCTCCCTCTTAGTATTAGTGTAATATACCAATATATATATATTAATAAAGGAGTTTAAAGGATTGTGGTGAAGCCACCTAAGCATCCTATATGACATTTTTTTTCCATTAATATCCATATATATTATTTACTCATTTTCTAAATAATTCTTTCTTACATTGAATCTATATATATTAATAAAGGAGTTTAAAGGATTGTGGTGAAGCCACCTAAGCATCCTATATGACATTTTTTTTCCATTAATATCCATATATATTATTTACTCATTTTCTAAATAATTCTTTCTTACATTGAAATAATTTTATATTAAAATATATTTTCTCTTTAACAAATAATAATTCAAACATTATATTAATAAAATTTTATAATAAAAAGTTTATAAAATATTTGTGATTTATAAATTAATAAAATTTCCTTTCCAATATCGCTTTTATTTAACAAAATTTTTTATTTCAAACAATATATTACATTATACATTATAATAGAAACTAATAAAAAGGTAATTAAAAAAATAAAAGCCCTAATTAAATGATAAATTTTATGGTGCATTTAAAAGAAACAAATAAACGCTCGCTCTGAAGGGTTGGTGAAGTGATTTAATGCTAAAGGAATAAAAGCCACGTCCAAAAAATTAACACGGTAAATAGATACCACGTTTCAAGGTCCATTGAAAAGTCATGGTTAATGATGATATAAATAAATAAATAAAAAACAATTAATAATTCGTCTGAAAGATTGAATATGCGCCGTTTTATTTCCACTTAGTGGATTAAGAAATTAAAGCAAATAACGTGCCAAAAAATTTATTGATCCACTAATGACCACTGTTGATATTTAGATCTCATTTCGTGATGTTTGCGCATTTGTATTCTGATTAGCTTGCACGTTCATCTTGTAATTTTCTCGGCCTCTGGATTCTCCAGTTTGCTGGGAACGCAGCGAGGGGCAACTGGTACTTAGCCATTCGTAATGACGAGGAATTGGGAAAACTGCTACAAGGGTAACCGTTGAAAGTGGAGGAGTTCTCCTTCCCAAGAAGACTGGTGGTTGCGCCTCTGCTTCTTCTTCTGATTTTGAGAAGAAGTCGCCTGCAGAGAATCTTCTAAGAAGACCCAAAAGATTAGAGAGAGAAAATTGTTGTTTGTTTTGGCAGATTAATTCTCTAATGGAGGGTTGTGAGAACAAGGAGAGAAACGACACCATGATAGAAACGGAGAGGTTTCTCATACTCTGTGTTTCTCATAAGGAGAAAAATCGTGAGAAAATGGAGAGGTTTGATAAGAAAAAGCAAGTTGATATAAGAAGCTGGAAAGGATTGATGGTATCAGAGAAAATAACATCAAACAAAGACATGATTTCAAGCAACAAATAACTTCAAGAAGTAGAAGATGGCTACATGTAAGACGACGATAAGTAACAAAGTAAAAAAAAAGAGGAAGAGAGAGAAAAACAATAAGCGGTGCGATAGCTTTTTTTATCCGAGGTTATCATTCATACTCTATTTAAAGGTAATGTGCTCTATGGTAGGAATTATCTAATTGCTAGATTCGATATTTGTTTCACTGTTGGAGACAAAACTCTAATCCGATTCTTGGAATCTCAACCGTGAAAATGGCTTTGATGATTAAGATCTTGTGAAAAAAAGAGCATGAATGTAACAAAGCTTACGATAGATATTTGGCATTACTTTTCATGGTTTCAATTTTTTCATGAAAATTTTCTTTTTCTTATTGGATGTAAGAGATATTGAAAAGAACGTAAATTATACCATTCTTAATAGATTTATATTGTTGAATAAATTTTTTTTTAAAAAAAATTTTAATTGGTGTAATGTTTTTTTCTTTTATGTGAAAAGTCATGTTTTGTGTATATGGTGTGTGTATATATATATATATATTGGATAATTGATATTACTATGAGAATTAATTTGAAAGAAAAATTAATCAGTTACACTTTAATTTTTTCCACCTTTGCTTATCAAGAAAAATACAAATTATAACTTTTAAATATATTTTATCTAAAGAATAAAAGATAATAAAACGATATAAACATATATATCACTCTACGCTAGAAATGCTTGTGATGCATATTAATACACTAGAAATGCCTCCGCAATCTACTATGTGGCTATATATGTTCTCATCAATTGCCTCTACCACGATATCGCTGTGACATTTCTTGAAATTTTTAATTTCCACTCAATCTATATTGTTTTCTTCTTGAAGCATCTATATAACATGATCCATGTTCAAAAGTTTTTAAATTTAGATAAATTTTGTAAATTTACAGAGATTTTGTTATATTTTTAAAGAAATAAAAAAAGTATGTGGAAAAATAATAAAATTAAACAAAAAAAATAAGAAAAATCAAAGATATAAAACTCAACCCTAATTAGACAAAAATTCAAAAATAAGCAAAAAAAAAAAAAAGACAAAAGAGAGAGATTTGTCAATGTTTTCTATTTTGAGACTCGAAATATAAAATGTGGTTTTCAAATTTTTTTCCACATACTTCCAGAGATATATATGTGAAATATATATGTTAGTGCATTAGAAAATAATTAGTGAATTGTTCTCTTAATAGGAGTATTATCATATTACATCTAAGTTATTTGTGTTAGTATTATACCAATTGATACTGCATATTATTTTTCTTTTATTTTGTCTATTTCTGTACATATGAGGACAACGAAGAATAATATATCATCATTGTTATTGTGATCATTAAAAAATTTCAAAATAAGTATATAATTTAATTATTTTTAAAACCAAAGATAATGATAATATTTAATAATATCATTTTTACTATTATCTTATAATTAAACCAATTTTTTAATAAAAATAAATAAAATAATTAAAAAATAAGTATACATTTACATATTATTGATATCGATTTCATACATCATTTGTATAATAATTTTCATATTTTAGTACTTCTTTACTCTTTTATTAGTTATATGATCTTAATAATTTAATTTTATAAATATACATTTTCTAAATAAAAAAATAATGAATAATTTTTTTTGGGATTCTTGGCTGAGTGTGACAAAGGGATGACATGTTTATAAATCTATACCTTTTTTTTATCCTTTGAAAACTATACCTTTTTATAAATTTTTGACAAAACTACCCTTACTTTATTGTATAATTTTAATATTGCCATTTAGCGTCCCAAAAAATGTGCAGTATAAAAAACAGATTTTTTTGGAAACTGTGTAATACGAGAGAACTGTTTTTCATCCGGGAGAGTCTGTTTTTATTCGGAAGAACTGTTTTTTGTCCGGCAGAGTCTGTTTTTTGTCCGGGAGAGTCTGTTTTTTGTTCGGGAGAACTGTTTTTCGTCCGGGAGAGTCTATTTTTTGTCCGGAAGAACTGTTTTTCCTCCGGAAGAGTCTGTTTTTTGTCCGGAACAATTTTTTTCTGTCCAGGAGAATTGTTTTTGTTCGGGAGAGTTTTTTTTTTGTCTCGGAGAATATTTTTTTTGTCCGGAAGAACTCTTTTTTGTCCGTAAGGGCTGTTTTTTGTCCGGAAAAATATGTTTTTCATTCGGAAAAGTTTGTTTTTTTTTCCGGAAGAACTGTTCTTTCCCGAGAGAGTTGTTTTTCGTTCGGGAGTGTACGTTTTTTGACTGGATGAAAAATAGTTCTCACGTATAAAAAAATTGTTTTTCATATAAAAAACATTTTTTCCCCGATGAAAACAATTCTCTAAAAAAAAATTACTCTCTCGGACGAAAATAGACTTTTTCGGATAAAAAACAGTTCTTTTGGATAAAAAAAGTTTTCTCCGAATGAAAAAACAATTATTTCGGACAAGAAACAGTTCTTCTTAATAAAAAAAATTATTTTTCATAAACAAAAACAATTAAACCAAATAAAAACAGATTCTCAGAGATGAAAAATAATTATTCTATGATTATTTCGGATGAAAAAAAACAGTTTTCCGAGATAACACAGTTTCTCAATAAAATATATTTTTGATGCTGTAATTTTTTTGAAATGTTTAATGGTAATATTGAAATTATACAATAAAGTAATGATATTTTTTTCAAAAAAACTATAACAAGATATAGTTTACAAAGGAAGGAAAAAAAAAGTATAGATTTCTAATGACGTGACATTTTTGGATACCGGTGCAAATTTCCTCTTTTTTTTTATTAAATTCATACAAACAAATGATATCATCCAAGTGTATTTTTTAATAATGTTTTGTATGATATGTAAAATATGGTCCAACAAAATTGCATTACATGTAGAAATAAAAATAAGTTCTAAAATACGCTATTACGTTATTTGAATAGTATTTGTTTCACTTATTATCCGATGTTATTATACGAGTGACATGTATTTTTTATTTATGATTTCAAGATACTAAAAAAACAAAATTTAACTGATAATAAATTTTATATCTATTTTACGAAAAATATTACTTCTCAAAAGATTGATGATATCATATATAATATTTCCAATGACAAATTTTGGATATATTTATACCACAATTTTGTTAGGTTTGCCAAACACAAAATAAAACTTCTCAAAGTTAAAAAAAAATATGAAATTAGATGTTAAAATTGAATTAACAATATCATTTTTATTATTATCTTTTAAGTAAATATTTTGTAGAGATTCAAAGAAAAAAAATCTTTTGTTTAGCCATGGTGATAACAAACATGTATTACAAACATTGTCTATAGAGAAATCTTCAACGCATTATTATGAAGATAGATAAAATAAAATTCACGGTCAATTTTTTTAAACACAAAATATATTACAAATAATTAAAAATTATAAAATAGTATATATAATATAATATTTATAATTAAAAAATATCTCATCGTATAACATAAAATTGAAATGTATGATAAAATATTTCTTTGACAAAATGTATATTAAAACCAAACATATACATCATATAGACAAAAATATGCATATCCTTAATATACTATTTATAATTTTACAATAATTTAATATTATTGATATAGTTTCCCTATATTGAAAAATAGTTTGTTTAATTTCTTCAAATTATATATCAATAAATTTAAAAATTAAATAAAACATAAAATATAAAAACCGCACATCGCGCGGTCTTCATCTAGTTAATTATTAATAGTTATAACAAAATGGTTTCTATTAAGAAAAAACAATTAGCTGCCTATCCCGGGGTTATTGTTTCTGTTAATTTCGAGTTTAATGGCATGATATCTATTAAATTTTAATTCCAACAAACTAAATATTTTTTTTTGTCAAAAACTAAATAATTTTTTAAAAAATACAATACAACAAAACCATCTTAATCCCAAATTTATTTGGAGTTTTAAAAAATCATATAAAAATAATTTATACACACACACACATGACATATCTATACGAATATATAGGATATTTGTTCAGGGTAATGATTGAAAATGAAGAGAAAAATACCAAACAATACGTAAACTTATATTACAAAATAATACCAAATTTACACACTAAAAATTCCGAAACAATATCACAGAAAATCATCGCAGATATTCTATAATTATTATTTTGGACAGAATATTTATTTAAAAATTTCTCACACTTTTTATTATATGATTTGACAATGACAATGACGTATCCCACAACACGATTATAGTAAAAATCCATAACAAACTATTTAATCCCACGTGCAATTTATGATCATGCCTATAATATTGAGAAACAAATATTAAAAATATAATTACCAAAAAAAAAACGACTTTTGGGCCTAATCTTGAATTTTGGGCTTTTATGGGCTTTAAGAAAATGGGCCTAATATAAAATAAAACCTTAGAAAGCCCGATTGCACGCTCGTTACGAACCCTACGCGCACATGTAGCGCGTAGAGCGCGTGTTGTTATAATCGAAAGGTTATAACCCAGCGGATTTTCTGAAATTCCGGTAATATATTTTTTGGTGCCAGCGAAAGCGCGTGGAGATTGTTTAAAGCCAAATATATGTTGGCATTTAAAAATAACTGTTTCCTATTGCGTATTGCCATCACCCAATTAAAAGAATATATATTAATACAAAAAAAAAAGATATTACATAATATTAGTCATATAAATTTTATATTTCGTATAGCTTCGTTATAATCCGATATATTGTTTTTTGTAGACGTTTTTAACCGTTTTAAACGAATATATTCGAAATCCGAAATAATTAAATAAAGAAATACAGAATTAAATTAGGCTAATAATATTCTAATTATATTTATATTGGTTGAAAACCTTTTAAAACTAAGAGATACATTTATATGGTCAATAAAATTTAATAATAATTTAAAATGTGATATTTTGACAATATAGGATTAAAGAAGATTCCTCTGTGTATTAGTGTAATATCCCCAATTAATAGTTGTAGTTGTTTTTAGATACAGTATAATGACATGGTTTCAATTAAGAAAAAGGTAGGGGCTGTCTATGTCTATCCCAAAAATACTATAAATTTAATTAACTTTCAATTGTTTTACTTACACCAAAAAAACTTTTTCTTAAAATTTATTATAAAAAATCAACTTTGAATAAAAAATACCAACTATATAAATTATTTAAAACCAATCTTTCACTTTGTTATAAAAAATCATCAACAATTAATCTTAATTAAAAAATCATCATCTATCTAAATTACTCAAAAATAATCTATTTTAAATTTATTATAAAAATCTATAAAATTTCAATAGAAATACATATATAAATTATACAATTGTAAAAATCATAATTTAAACATAATATATAATTAAATTTTATCGTCTCTTAACATTTAAACTTTATATAAAAAATTATAAATATCAATCTTTATATAATAAATTTATATACAAATATTATATTTAAAAATGAGTATATTTTTTTGGTTATAAATGTTATATTTAAATTTTGTAAAATATAATATTTGAGAGGTTACGAATTGACACTACAAAAAAAATCAATTTTTAATAAATTTGTCCGTTGAAAATTTTTCAACAGCTTTTCAACGGTTTTCAACTACATTTCAACAACGATTTCCGTTAAAATTCCGCTGAAATTTCCAACGGATATCCGTTAAAAATATATGTTAGAATTTATGGTGATGATTTATGGTGATCACACTAATTCATTATGTTCATACCTTGTATATCTTATTAATCATTTGATTAAAACATCATAAATTTAACGTTATGAGTAATGAGATCAACATGTGACACCACTATATTTTGGGTTACATAGGTCACATGGTCACAGATGGAGAATGATATGTGTTGAAATAAAAATAGAAAAGTAAGGATATTTTTTATAATGCCCGGAGTTAAGGAGATTGTGTTGGAGTCGTGGGATGATGGGTGATCTTTTGTGAAGTGAGTTCGAAAATTAAATTTTAGAGTTTTGGGTTCCATTTAGAGTCGGAACGGGGTCGGGGTAAAGGAATATATTTTGAATTTTTCGTTGAAATATTCCAACGAATTTCGGTTGAAAATTCTGTTGAAAATTTTCAACAGATATCGGTTGGAAATTCCTTTCCAACGGATCGCGGTTGAAAATCCGTTGGGAATTTTCACCGAATAAATATGTTGAAACATCGTTGAAAATTTCATTTTTAACGGATACCGATTTCCAACGACATAATCCGTTGGAAACATTAATTTCCAACATAAAAATTGACTATTTATAACGGTTTTGTCTGTTGAAAATGACCATTTTTTTGTAGTGTAAGTATATTTTGCTGGTTGTATATATAAAAGGTAATATATATGTTAAAAATAAAAATAAAAAATATGATATTTAAATTTTTTTTTCAAAAGTTATAGATTTCTATATTTAAAATAAAATATTTTTGAGAATTTTAAATGGTTGAAAAAAAAATTTCAATAAAATTGTTATAGAAATCTTTGAAAATTAAAATCAATTTTATGGTTTGCAACCTTTCAAATATTAATGTATGATAAATTTTTGAATATATTATTTACAACCAATAAATATACTCAATTTCAAATGTAATATTTGTATACAAAAATATTATATAAAGATTGATATTTATAAATATTTTTATAAATTTAAATATTATAATATGATAATTTGAATGAATATTATGTTTTTTTGTGATTTTTAGAATTTTTCTATTTTAAATTTTTTTCTATTCATATTTTATAGATTTTTATAATAAATTTAAAATAAAATGTATGTTTTTTAGTAATTTAGATAGATGATGAGTTTTTTTAATTAAAATTAATAATTGATTGTTTTTTATAACAAATTTACAGTGAAAATTTATTTTTAAATCATTTATATAATTGATAATATTTTTTAAAATTAATGGTTGATGATTTTTTATTATAAATTTTAGGTATAATATTTTTTTTATGTATAATTGAAGGTTCTTTTTTTGTTTATCCCATTAATTTTCAATTTCAATATCCTAAATAAGATTTAAACATACCATAGAAAAACAATTATATACACACACGTCCATTCATATGGTGCTCTAAATTGTTTTATTCATATTTTAGGGATAACGATTAAAAAAAATAAGCGAAAATACCAAAAAAAATATTAAAAAACATGATTACCAAAAATGGAGTATTGGGCCTTTGCTTGAATTATGGACTTTAATAAAACACGTTGTTAGATTATTGGGCCTAATAAAATCAACTTTGAAAGCCCGACTTCGTCCATTGCACTCTCGTCTCGAATCCTACGCGCAGATACAGCGCGTGGAGCGCGTGTCACGAAAATCGAAAGGTTATAACCCAGCGGATTCGGTGATATTTCGCTAATATTAATTTTCGGGCCAGCGAAAGCGCGTGTAGACTGTTTAAAGCCAAATTACTTTGGCATTTTTTTAAAAAAAAAAAAAATCTTCGGATTAAAAAAAAAGAATATAAAAATACCAAAAATACGTAAAACTTATATTACAAATTTTTCTTTTACCAAAAATACATTCACTATATTAACCAAATTCTACAATTTTACAAATCCCGAAAACAATATCACAGAAAACCTTCACAAGTTTGTGTACAAAGAACCTAAAACCCTGAAACAGGACAACAACACGTTCTTCACAGGACTGAAACCACCACCATCATCTTGTCTGGTCTGAAGGGCTTGAAATTGAACCTCAACCATAACGGTATTCATGGCTGTAAGCTTCGTATCGGTACTCGTACTCTGACGACGACTGTTCATACGTTGCAGCAGCTGTATAGTGAGACGGGGAAGAAGAAGAGTGGTGGTAAAGCTGATGGGGAGGAGAAGGCGAGCCGGTTTCAGGCATGGAACTGGACGTGTGGGCTTGGTGTTTGTCGACTCTAACCTCCACCATCTCCTCTTGCTCGATCTCTTCTTCCTCGAACGAGTGGAAGATCGGGTGCAGGTACGCGTCTGCTAGGTACGCTTTCATGTTCAGTTCCGGCTCTGTCTCCTTCTCCAGCTTGTCTTTCGCCATTGCTTCCTGAGAAGAAGATGACAAAAAAACAAGAAATGGGTCCATAAGGAAAACAAGAAATGGGTTCATGGCAATTAGAGTTGGTCATTTACCTCAAGAGGGTACTTTCTGAAAGCGGGTTCGAACCGGTTTTTGCAGTACTTGTGGAACCAAAGCGTCAACAAGGGCAAGATGATGAGTAATGGAGTGGACCTGGCAGCCTTTTTTGTACTCAACAGACCTAATAACAGTAGCTGCGATATCAGTAAGCTTGCGATTATCCGGCCATGGACATGAGGCCAGAACGCTCCACAGCTCTCGTATTGTTGATTGTACACATTCACAATCTGCATTCATATATACAGAGACAATCAAGAAAAAACAGAAGCTGCAGGAATCAACAAGAGAGAGTACGCATGTACTGTGAAAGAACCTGATGGCGGTAAACAAGGTATGCAAAGGCGAAGAAGACGAGTATGAAGGGAAGAAGGATTGGGGTAATGGCTGCATAAACAATGCCCAAGAGGAAGTAGAGCTGGAGGGTTGGGATAGTCTCTTTGAAATCAACGAAACCCGGGTCCATTGCCCTCTCTCTGTCTTTCTCGGTCTTCACAAGAAACATGTTCTTGAGGTGGAAAATGACTAAGGGCTTCAACCTGAGGATCTCACCGGCAATCCCAGCCCACCCGTCAACCATTATGTAAGTGATAAAGAACGTGGCTTTCATCGGTATGGAGACTCCAATGGTCCGAGGAATCCTGTAAGAATCTCAAAGATGTGATTTTTTGACATCCGGGTTTTGTCCTAATGTTAAAATTTAAAATTTTGAGAAATGGGTTTCAGATCGTTACTCGGTTGGCGATTGCTTAAGGAAAGATTCCAGTTGCTGAAAGGCAGTTCCCGCGATGATACTTCCCAAGAACACATTAACTAACATGAAGTAATAGTATTTCGCTGCTGCCCTACGCTCAAGGGTTGATAAAGCAATGTATCCTTCAATCTTTGACATAATCAGCAGAAGAGTCGGTAGTATCCACAAGAAAATCTTCAGGGCGAGACCAGGAAGAAAACCCTGTAAGAACGACTTGATGAAACTCCTGCAGTATTTAAGCGAGAAAACATAGTTAACAGGCCGACGTTACACGACAATCAAGAAGCTAAAAAACTCGAGATAACCTCCACTTACAATCTCGTCACGGGTCTAAGGAAAGGAGCAACCCTTTCAAGACCCTCCAAGTTAGCAAGAGATTGCACGAAAGCAATCGGTATCATGTAGAAGAAGACCAACGCAAACACCGAAACCCCGATAACGAGCTTTCGAATGCTCAAAGAAATAAAAGGTATAGCCAAGTTTTGCCAATAGATGTCACGAGGTTCAGGAGCCCAACTCGTTAACCATAACGTCGGATTCTTGCTCTGTTGAGTCTGTGCACAAACAGCTGCTCCCCATCTCGAGTCAAACGACACAAAAGCAACAGGTAGCATCAGTTTCGAGTCCTTGAGAACTTTCTGCCGCTCCATTGACATCTGCATCGATAAGAAATACCGATCCAAACCATTAGAGAACAACCCTTGTTGAGTTTTGAGATGAACTTAGACCGAAAGCCATAATATTTGGCTTACCCTTTCATCAAACTCCTTGATTTGTTGCGTGTAGTACTCGATGGAATCGACCCTTTTGCCCCAGAGCCCCAGAAACCCCGTCTGAAATCAAAGGTTGTCCAAGGAGATCAAAACCCGAATTCCTCAAACCCTTGAAACATACAGATGATGCATGATGGATTCATATGGAATATGTTACCTTTCTAGCCGGCCTCTTTTCCGGATGGCGTTGATACTTCAGTAGATTATAGTCCAACCAGCTTTGCAACCTCTCTCTTTTCCTCACCAGCTTGGCATACTTGTTAGCATTGTAGACCGCCTGAACAAGAGGATCCCTCCATTCTTAGGATATGCAAGCAATAACATAAGTCCTGTCCTGTCTTAAGGACTCTATTACAAATAAACCGGTCCAGATGGGTAAACTACCTGGTGACAGAGGTAATGTTCAGGGTGATTTGTCTTGAAGAACTGATCTACAGTATCTGGAATCGAGTGTCCGGACATGTAAGGCACGTTTCGGACAACGACCTGGTGAAAAATTACAAAGGGTATTGATTCAATCACAAGGAGAAGATCCCTTCTGAATTTGACAATCTACAGTCTTGTGGGTTTGAGGCTCAACTCACTGTAAACTGCTCGGGCCGCCTCTTCTGAGAAGCTAAGTACTGAAGACGCATAGACGCAACCTTGTCGTATTCCAAGTAAAGCATGAAACATGTCCAGAAGGTAAGAATGTATTCCAATCCAATGTGGAAGAAGAACCTAACACACGATTTCAAAACCCGATCAGCGAAATTTTCCACGTTCTCGAGAGCTCGGAGAAGAAAATCTCGTGGAAAAGAAGATCGAAGAGCTCACTTTGAGGATTCGGGTCTGACGTTTGATATGGAAAGCTTGTCAATGTCGCTTACGACGAGTTCCTTCTTCAAGAAAAAGAGTGTTCCACTCGAGACGTTCACTGGAACAAGAACAATGAGAGCCAACACCATGATTGGTGCAAAAATCTTCAGGCTGCAAGACAAGAACATGAAGGGATTAAGTTTTGTTTGGTCAGAAAAAGTTTTCTGGTTAGAAGATCATCATCCATGGATGATCTTCTACCGATCTAGAATGTTAGAATCTGCTAAACTTTTTTTGTAAATTCCTTGTTAATCAAGGAACAACACCATCATGATACTATCGTGATATGAGGATTCGTTTAATATAAGCGTAAAATTTCCGGGAAAATAAAAAAAGTTCAGTTTTTCTTTCATTTTCTCGAGAAACAGACAATGCCTCATTTTCACAAAATCTGTGCTACTTTACCATTTCAAATTCATCCTAAAGTCCTCAACTTTCCTTTTTCGGGACGGAAAAGTTCTCAACTTTTCTTTCATCTTCTCGAGAAACAAACTACACTTTCATCTTCCATTGAAAGGATCGACGAAAAAACGGCAACTTTAGTAGAAATCCTTTGCAAAAAGAAACAAAAAAGTGTTTTTATCAAAAGGGTATCTCGAATTCTCACGAAATTCATGCTTAATCAAACCAACAAACAAACTCAACGGGAAGATTACTTTCAAATTCTCTCGAGAAAATGAAAACGAGAAAGAGTGGGAGAAACAGGGAGATACCCGAGGGTATAAATCCGGAGAAAAATGGCGGAATCGAGGCCGGCGTGACGAACAATGTCGGGCTCGCTCAATCTCATGGCCTGAGGCATCCAGTTCAAGAAGGTGAGATATGTCCTGAAATTGAGGTTGACGAATTTTCCGACAAGGGTTCCGTAGGAACTCCGGGGACTGCTCCGTTCTCCGGCGAGATACCATTTCGGAAAGTAAACTCTATCGTTGATGGGTTGAATTCTCAGAACCGCAAAAGCCAGAAGAAACGCGAAGGCTGTGAGGATATTTATCAGAGCAGACACTCCAATGTCTTCCAGAGTCGCCATTGAAGAAGAAGAGAGAGAAAGGAGGAGAGAGATGGAGTCTCGAACGTGAGCGGGGAAGGGGGGGGGGCGTAGTGATGGAAAACAGAAAGGAATATAATAAAGGTGGAAATAAATATTAAATTATATGTACTTTTTTTTTAAAATCTGTTTAATAATTAATGTAATCAAGTTGGAACTTTTTATAACGACGGAATTTAGAAATATTTGAGATTTAAGAAAACATCGGACTTTTGTTAACGTTTGTACATAAAAAAAAAGTTTAAAATTTTTAAAAAATTGTGTAAAAAACTGAAATTTATAAGTGCAATTAGTTATTATTCTATAAGTTCCGGTGAATAGTTGGCCGCACGCGTTAAATATATTTAATTAAAATCAAGTGTTGGTCCATTCCATTTACACTTTTGACTTTATGAGTTTCTTTCTGAATTGGGTTGACAATTAAAAATAAATAAAATCGGATAGGTAAAAACATTATTATAAATTATTTACTTTTTCATATAATCGTATTCGGTGGGTGGAATCAATTAATAGGACAACTCACCATTAATTATTGCATGATTTAGGGGTAAACATATTATCCTCAATCATATATATATATATATATATATATATATATATATATATATATATTTTATATAGAGAGATAGAGGATGAATAA